CTAATACAAATTACAAAAAAAGAGTATGAAGTAGAAAGTGCAGAAAAAAAGAAAAAGTAAGAAAAAAATAAGGGTGTAACAAAGAGAAAAGAAATATATAAAGAGCTACTCCTCCCCCCCAATCACGTATAAATAATTTTAACAACTTGTTATCTTTTCTTAAAATACAATAAACAGCCTCTTCATCCAACCTCTTATCTGTAATCAGATCCTTAAAGCCGTCAGTCCTGGTCAGCAAAATCCAATTAAGAGTTACCAGAAATAACAATGTATCTATTTTAATCTTGATCAAATAAACTCACTTTATAATTCTTCCTTTTACTTTTAACAATTTTTATCTTTATCCCTTCAATGGTCTCCTAGAACTTGTTTTCTTTTCATTTTTCCTTTGTTCCTTCTCAGAAAATTCTTCAGAGCTTTAATAGATCTCTCTTGTAATCAAATGTAAGAGAGTTATCCAAGTCACTCTTTTGATTTGCCATTTGTATATCCTTTTTAGTTATTAAGACATCAACCAGTTTCATTTGAGAGTCCAGTATAACATCTTTTTTGTAATTTATCATTCCTGTAATTTATTGTTTTTAAATCTATTTTCAGATTAGTCTCAGTCTTGTCTGATAAAACTTGTTCTTTCTGATAACATCTTTTAAACACAGTCTGTCTATAATGGTATTATATTTTTATTTATTTAGTATATGGCGAGACCACGATGCTAATGCAGAGTAGTAGTTTGACTGCCAATTTACTAGCTCTGTTGTAGGACATGCTCACCTGCTTCTCATGGTGCACCAAAGGAGATGAGCTGGCTTTGAACCAGAACTAAGACTGGCTATTCCTGCAGTATCATCTAAAGCAGGGTTTCCCAACCTGTGGCTGTGGTCTATTTGCAACCAGGCCAAGTGAGCAAATGAAGCTGTGTGTGCATATGCCTGCCCCTTGCACAAAACCCTCTCCTCTTCATCCCATTCCTCCTGGAGGCCATGAACCCGGAAAGGTTGGGCTATGCTGATCTAAAGCTCTCTCCCTCTCCAGAGCCACCTTGCAAATAGGCGTCACAACCAGGACGGTTCTGAGCCAGCAGGAACCTACCACCTGCATGAGTCCTTTTATAACTTTTAAAAATTAACATTCTAATCACATTTTTGCTGTTTATCTAAAATAAGGCTTTTTTCTGTCCTCATCTTAGAAGCTTAGCAGCTGGAACTTAGTGTGAATCCCTCAATTTAAAGATGAGCAGTTCCTGCAGTTTGCTTACAAGGAGCAGCTGTCTGGAGTACAAGTGGGCAATCTCACAATCTCTCCTTTATCAGGAAAGACTTGGCCAGCCAGAAATTGTCATCTGCCTGCTGATCTTTCCATAATGCCATCTCCACTTCCTTGAAGATGTCTAGTTTGCCATGAATCCTCTCTGAAAGTCTATTTTCTCCAATGGCCTTGAATGTGGAATGTGTCTTTTCATAGCAATCATGCACTAACTCAGTTTTAGAGAAGAGAAAATTGCTGCTCTGAGTCTGTCATCTGAGTTTCCGTTATAAAAATGAGATTGCTAAGTTACAGGGCTAAAATATTTTTTAAAAAAATACTCAAACATGCTAAATAGCTGCAGGAACTGTTAATAGAATTATTCCAGAACTCTTTTATGAATGAAAGGTCATTAATATACATTCTTCACCAAATTTTAGTTGCTTCATAACTGTAATTCAAACTAATACTTCACGAATAACTCAAAATAATATTTCAAGAGTGTAATGGAATGTTTGGATGACCTTGGGGGATCAAGGAAAGACATGCTGCCTATGAAACAATCCAAGGTTTAACAGTCAGAGGATGAAACTTTGGGAGATCTGCCCTAATTGATCAGTTAGCAGGGTTCCTTGAGGATCAGAGGCTATTCTTGAAATTCCTCTCTTTGGAAGAGAGTAGGAGATTTGCAAAATTGATGTCTGCCCCTCTGGGTAAATAGACAGGAAACCCGACTAGATGATCCAGATCTGCTTTATTGTAAGGCTACATTAACAGAGTCTTGGAAGTTACAAGCTTTCTGCCACCACTGTTAACCATCTGATTGGTTGCATTTTGAATCTGACTGGACAAAGAATCTATTGCCTCAGAAAGTATAACTCCCATGATTCTGAGCATGGCACTGTCAATGTAAGACTAGCATGGGAGAACATCTGACTTGAATATCCTTTTTTCCCTTCTAGTTATTTAATAGAAAAAAGAACATACTATACCAGCCAAGTCAAAATTCTTCAAATAGTAGACAGATTCTCCATAATAATCTGTTCAGTTAATTATAAATAAAGCAAAAGTTGGAGTGAAAGGAAAGTAGAGGCTGATATTGAAGATATGGAAATGGCATTAGTAACTGATTAAATTCACATAAATGCTCTAAACCATTTTAACTATGGTTTGTTGGTTAAGAAAAAAAGGCTAAGTTCATATATATTGAACCATAGGCCATAGTTTACAAAGCACAATGACTGATGTGACAAGTCACACTAAACTCTATGTGATTTATTAGTTTTTGCTTAATATGATCCACAGCTTCATGAGCTTAGCAAACTGTGGTTTATTTAATAAATCAAAATTAAGGAAATCACTTTGCAAAGTAACATTTGTAGTTTATTATGACATAGGAACCAAACCCCAGGCTTGGGAGAATGCGTGAGTTGTTTATATTAGCCTTCTTGCCACATATTCTGAGGTTGTATTTAAAATGGTACGTGTATATGCTGGGATGAAGAAATAGCTGTGGTTTCTTTCTCTTTTTTGAATCCAAAAATTTCAGTGTCACTTTTAAGCTGCTCCGGTTTGCTGAAATGAAGAACTCATAGCTCTGGTATACACACAGGAAAAAGGTTTGTGGCCCCCTAGAAAGAATTATATCATGTGCCAGACCCAAGTGACACGGTCTACTTTTTATGTCAGGAACCCTCACCGTGCTTAAATATCATAAATCTGAGGGCGAGCAGAAAAGATTAATGGTCAGTTCTGCCAATATGCTGCTGTTAGACTTCTATGCACCGAAAAGTGCTTACAGGAGCAGTAGAATAACGTCACAAAAGATTGCTTCTTTTTTTTCTGGCCCTTATCTTCTACTATTGTTCAGACTTCTACAAGCCAAATCTCATAGCCCTATAAACTGCCCCTATCCCACAGCATATACCCTTTTTAAAAATAAGTTGTCATGTATCTTTTTTCATCCTTTTGCAAATTTAAATAACATTTAAAATAACATTGGCATTTCTCGTATGGAATTTTTATTAGTTTCTAGACTTCTCAATGGGAAATTGGATTGGATGGTCACAGCTATCTTTTAGCATTCTTTAACTAATTTTTCCATTTAACCTTTTTTAAAAAAAATCACGGTGCTGGGCAATTTTTCACTGACTTGTGCTGAAGTTTACCGAGTATTTACTATGTACATACTGATGTATAATTTATGAATTCAATAATATTAAAGTCATTGACACTGATTAATATTCCTTGCTGATTTTAATATATCTTTTTCCAATACGGTGCCCTCCGATGATGGGTCTGTGGGGTTCTGAGACTATGCGTTTGCAGCTCCCATCATCTCAGCCAGCATAGTCCAAGAGTCTAAAGATGGCAGATGTTTTAGTCAAACACATCTGGCGAATACAAAAATGGAGAAGGATGGATGTGTTGGCTGGTGCTTGTCCTTCCAGAAAAATAATTGTAGTTTGTGCAGCATGTAATAATATACAAGGCCCATTTGCTAAACATATTGTCTGCTTATATACACATGCAGAGGAGGTGGTGGAGAGAGACAGAGAGAAGCAGATGGTTTCACAGTGCAATCTACTAGGTGAACATGTGGAAGAACTGTTGAAAAGATAGGATGGGCTGTAGCTTCAAATGGCAAGAGAATAAATGCAAGGAGAGAACAACTAGCAAGTAGGAAATGTTTAAATATTTCCATGTCTGCTCATTCTCCCCTACAAATTATTATTTTTATCAGTGTTTTCAGTCAGTCCATTTTCCTGTGATATATATCCTGCTCCAATAGAATACAGTATACATCCCACTAAATTCAGTAATTAGAAATAATAAAAAATATATATCTGGAGAAGAACTAGATATAGTAGACCTCTACATATACCTTGGCCAACAGATCTTAATGGGCAGGCAATACAATAAAAGAAATTGAACGGCGTGTTAAATGTGGTAATTTTCAAGAACAACCTCTCCCTATGCCCAAAGAGAAAAGCTTTCGATCAGTGTGTGCTACCTGCTCTAACATATACTGGTGAAACATGAATACTAACCTCACATTTGATAGAAAAGCTACGAGTAGTGCAAAGAGCCATGGAAAGATGCATGCTCAGCATTGCAAGACAAGATAGAAAGATCTGCACATGGATTAGAGAACAAACGAAAGTATACGGTATCATCAAGAGAGTAAAAGAACTGAAATGGAAATGGGCTAGTCACAAAGCAAGAAGAACTGATGGCAGGTGGACCAAGGCAGTCGTAGAATGGATCCTACTTAATAAAAAGTGTCCATGAAAGAGACCTACAACCAGATGGATCGACAATATCAGCAAGTATTGTGGGCCCAATTGGCAAAAGAAAGCTCAGGACCCTATTGGTTGGAAACATGCAGAAGAGCCCTTCATCCTGCAGTAGACAGACAATGGCTAGAATGAATGAATGAATGAATGAATGCATCCCACTAAACTGAGCAATTTGCTCAACTCAAGCAGTAACAATAATTAAAAAGAAAAGAAGACAAACCATAAACAATACTACCAACAAAAAGAATTAGAACAAACACATAATTAGCACTACTAAAAATAACAAACTTACTATTAAGGATCAAGAGTTTATCTAAGTAGTAAGTTTGAAAAAAATGGTCAAGAAACAGGATGTTCTAGGGTTTCTGAACTTTCAGAGTCTTCAGAGCAGTAAGTTTCTGAAACTTACTGCTCTGAAGACCTCTTCTGGCTTTTAAAGATTATAGAGGACCCAAAAGAGCTAACAAGTTAGAGTTTGTTACCTCCTGGACAATGAACTGTGGTCAGCCCAGGGGTGAAAAGGGAGTTTTACCTATGTGGGTTTTTGTGGAAAAACCTCAGAGCTAACTCTTCTTCTGCTGTGCCTAAATGGATCTTTCAATAAAGTTTTACTCTTGGTAATTCCTACATGCCAAGATTTTCTTTTTTTTTTTTTTTTTGGAGGTGCCAAACGGGACAGTTGACAAATTCTTATTATGGCAAGAGAAGGGGGAAGCAGATCTAGTAACTAGGGGTTTTCCACCTCATCCTACTTCTCTTTCAGACAGAACTGCTTTTCTGCTCCCTTGCCGAGGTAGCAAGAACTAGAAATGTGGACGTTGCACTGTATTCCAGCTTATTTTTCTGCCAGTTCACAAACAGGAGAAAAAAAACATGCAGCACTACTATCTGGAAGGGCTCTAAGATGGATGCCCTCCTCTTGAAGGCTTTAAAACCTAGAAAGAGAAAATGAGAAAGAGTTGGTTTTGCCAGCATTCAGACACAGGGAACAATAGAGGGAGAATGGGAAAAGTAGGTACTCTCCTGCAGCAGTCAAGGCACTGTGAGAAGGACCCCACCTCCAGTTTGCCTGTCCCCTGCAACTGTCCTGCTTCCTTATCACACGGTCATCAGAAACAAGATGTTTAGAGGAGAACCACATCAATAATAATTACCAAAGCAGCTGTTCTTTGTACTGCTCCTCCCACTTTATGACTGCTGTTCAGGAAAGCATGGAAGGCATTCTTATTTCAGGAAGACCAGTCATGCACAGTTCTTTCATTAACCCATCCTTGCTCTTCATCTGTATCATCATGCAGACATTCCAGGGCTCAGTCTTAGCTGAGCAAGAGGCAAGAGTGCTGCTTCAGATATGGGACAACTGAGTACACAACTCTGCTGATCTGGGTGATTGTTTCTCCCACAGGATCTGCTCCAGCTCCAGTTGTGAGGGGGACCTTGGCAAAATATTTTCTATTGATGAAAAGAATTTCCCCATATAATAGACACCCCCTGCCCAAGCTGGCACAGATGGATACATGAAGGTTCACCTAATTTCAACAAAGACTGGAGGTGAACTGAGTTTTTTTCCTCTCTTAAGTAAACTTGCTCAGTGAAAGCCAATCTTTGAAGGAGAGAGATTTCTTTCTGGCACTCATATACGAATGCCTTTCTAGGCCCTGGCCTGTTTTGACAGTTGTGGTAGAGTAGGAAATATTTGTCTCCTCCAGCAAACCGGGTTTATTGGAAAGATTTCCACCAGGGTTCTTTCTTAAATTCTATACGTTCCCAACCATTAACCTCAATCTCAGTATCAGAGCACAGCTCATTTCCCGCATCCTACCCACCAATTCATACAGCTGTGGTTTTTTTTAAATAATGGCATCATCTGCAGAAATCCATAGGCTACTGCTCATTTTGTAACAAAGTTGCATGTTTATTTCTGCAAAAAACATCAGCGCAAACAGATCTGGATTGCAAAAATCTAGACAGGTAGAAAGCAGTTTAGGAATCTTTTTAAGGGTATGTGTGCTATTTTGTGGCCATACAAATGTTTGCAACCTTAACATGTCATGACAGTTTTCCTCCCATCCCTCTCTCCCATCTTCCCATCCCTAATCAATTAGCAACTTTATATGGCACACACATCATTTCTAAATTGAGTTTTAAATTTCATTTCCTTTTTGGCTTTCAGTTCACACATTTTTTTCAAAATCATACTGGAATGATTACTCCCTCAGTGGCTGGATAGATATGTTTCCTTTGATGCCTTTGGCATAACTTCCTAGAACCATACTCTGTCGACACTGAGTACATCTACAGTAAAGTTACCCAGGAAGGTAACTTTAAAGTTAAACCAGTCCTCCACTCCCTGAAGATTAGAGAGAGGGAAGATCACACCCATAGACCCAGCCTCCCTACCTTGCTGATCCATGTGAAACCTATCCTCTATGTCTAATAAAACAGAACTACTGCTCTGTTCCATTTTAAGATAGATTGCTTTGAGAAGGCAGGATATGGAAGGAAATGCATGGGACAGACTTTGAAAGACATTTCCCAAATCTCTTGTACCCTCAAAAGGAGTTTGGAGGGAGAGATTTAAAAAAGATAAGAATAGGCATTAGGTAAAGGGCCCATATATATCAAGGAGAGGCATTTAAGCAACTCCTTGATGCATGTGGACCCTATATTGTTCTTGTGTTATTGTACCTATTGCTGAGTTCTTGAGTCTGATTTCAGTACAACTTTTCCAACTAGGCTTGAGCCATGAGCACTGTGAGTGACTGACTGACTGATTTAGAAGTCAAATTTATAAAAGTTACTATCAGTAACTTTTCCATCTGGCTCTTTTGGGATTGTTTCCCAAAGGTTAAAATGTACCTGGCATCAAAACAATAGATGAGGGATGCTGGTATGTGTGTGATGTGGGATAAATGTATTTGGTTATTATGTGTATGCAGAGTTCACAACTTTCAAATCAACACAGGGATAGGAATGCACTTGCAAGCTAAAATGCCCATTAGTCACAATTTTGCAACATATTATAAAATGAAAATGTATGCCAGTGTTCAGCAGAAAGATAACACTGAATGCATACAAAGATTATGGAACTTGTAGACACCTACCAGATACGTGCTCACAAAAATACTTCTTTTTGTCCCTAGAGATGTTGGAAGATCATGACTGTAGAGCTTCCTGGCTGCTGGAAGAGAATTTATGAGGATAGTATAAGATTGGACATTTTGTCTTCGTGTAAGAAAAAGTCTTGGGGCTTCTATGATATCCCTCCAAGGACCACAAAACTCTCAGCCCAAACCACCTCACAGGGTTATTGTTGTGGGGAAAAGAGGAGGAGGAAGATGTGTTGGATATGTTTGTTGCCTTGAGTTATTTATAAAGCAATAAAGGCACGATACAGATAAATAAAAGTAAGGTGAAAAAGGTAAGGTTCTTGGTGAAAAAAGTAAGGTTCTACATTTAGGCAAGAAAAACCGAATGCACAAGTACAGCATAGGTGGCACCATACTCAATAGTAGTAACTGTGAGAGGGATCTCGGAGTCCTAGTGAACAATCACTTAAATATGAGCCAGCAGTGTGCTGCAGCTGCCAAAAAGGCCAACACAGTGCTGGACTGCATTAACAGAGGGATAGAATCAAGATCACATGAAGTATTAATTCCACTTTACAATGCCTTGGTAAGGCCACACTTGGAATACTATATCCAGTTTTGGTCACCACGATGTAAAAAAGATGTTGAGACTCTAGAAAGAGTACAGAGAACAGCAACAAAGATGATTAGGGGACTGAAGGCTAAAACATATAAGGAACGGTTGCTGGAATTGGGTATGTCTAGTTTAATGAAAAGAAGGACATGATAGCTGTGTTCCAATATCTCAGGGGCTGCCACAAAGAAGAGGGAGTCAAGCTATTTTCCAAAGTGCCTGAAGGCAGGACAAGAAGCAACGGATGGAAACTAATCAAGGAGAGAAACAACCTAGAACTAAGGAGAAACTTCCTGACAGAACAATTAACCAGTGGAACAACCTGTCTCCAGAAGCGGTGAATGCTCCAACACTGGAAGTTTTTAAGAAGAAACTCGGCAGCCATTTGTCCGAAATGATATAGAGTTACTGCCTGGGCAAGGGGTTGGACTTGATGACCTCCAAGGTCCCTTCCAACTTTATTATTATTATTATTATTATTATTATTATTATTATTATTAGTAGTAGTAGTAGTAGTAATAGTAATAATAATAATAATAAACCGAAATCTCTCCAATTATGTCACTGCATCTTAAAACATCACTAGTAATCATAATGAGAGCAGCTGCAGGAATTTTGCCAAAGCACAAGCACCAGCCCCATTCCACATGGTTCAGTTGGAACAGAAGATCTGGATCAGCTTAACTTCAACATATATTAAACAACCTTTTGATTTGTAAATCCCTTGCTTTTAATCTGCTATATTGAAAACACCCGATCCATACTCTCTGCTCTAGTGATAAAGGTGTACCCTTGTTTTTGAGAACTTAAAGAGCTTTCCCTTTGGGCCATAACACTTGATAAAGAAATGAATCTTTGTAATTAATAATTCTATGGGCTGAGATTTTGTTTAATAATCCTTGTGTCAGTGATAGATCTAGAAAGCGAAGTTGTGTTTATATGCAAGTGTGCTTACAGCAGGAAGAAGTGGGGAGAAGAGTAATTTGATTGAGGCTAGAGGCTTTGGCAGGCATGCATTACAAAGCAGCTCTTTAGCAATGGCTGGGGGAAGAAAAATCTACCCGCATGACAAATTGTTCCCTCCACTCTTTCTCCTCCCCCCATTCTTCCCCCACAAATGTGCTATCTGATTAGGCAGCAGCAAGCCAATCAGAGGGCATGATTGGGGAAATATTTCCTCCTTGACATTCAAGAGAACAATTCCTTACCAGAGGAAAATTACATTAAAAAAATAAATGGAAAAGCATCAATCAGCTAGGAAAATATATTCAGTTTTTGGCTCTCTGGAGAGAAAGCAATTTTTTTTAGAAAACTTAAATAGGACTAAAGGGCCTGGCTTGATCTGAGGGCTGTTTTTTTTTTATGGATAACACTGCAGCAGTTGTGATTGCTCCCCTCTTTCTCTAGGGAATATCACTCCATATTCAGTGAAACTTTGAATATTCATCCACTGAATATGTACCTAGAGATGTGAGCATGGATAAACATCATCCATAACCAAAATTTGCAAACCTATAATGAAAAAAAAATGGGGAAATTATTTTTATTTTTCCTGTTTTTTCAACAAAGAAAGTTTGGACCTACATGTTTGAGGAATAGTTTGAGGTCTAAGAGCTGCTTTTCAGAGCAAATCAAAATAAGTATCAATAAATATTCTTTGGCATTGAATCTATGAATAAAGGTGATAGCTTTGGACTATGGTAGTTCTTTAGAAATGTATACAAAGTTCAAAGCAGTTAGACAAAAAATATTACCAGCATTATTAATGAATGTTGACCAGTTATAAAAGTCCTCAAAAAGGGCCATTAAAATAATTGACAGTCCTACCAATTTGATTGTTAACTTTTCACCTTTCTAGTGAGAGGTGGGGAATGTCCACTAAAACTTAACCACGATTTGTAAGTAGGCCAGGGAAGATAAAACATACTGTGAAAATATCTTGCATTTAATTTCTTTCAGGGCCACTTCCAACACAGATCAAAGTTTAATTGTGTCAAAACTTTGTAACGCTCAGCAGGGCTCAGAAATTTCTTGGGGTGCCTTTCAATACAGGTATGACTGTTTGAAGTTACAACAGCCCTGGAAAAAGTTAGTTATGACCGTTTTTCGACTTATGACCATTGCAGGATCCCCATGGTCATGGGATCAACATTCAGATGCTTGGCAACTGACTCATATTTATGACGGTTGCAGTGTTTCAGAGTCATGTGATCTTTTGCCTCCTCCTGACAAGCAAAGTCAAAGGGGAAGCCAGATTCTTTAGCAACCATGTTACTAATTTAACAACTGTGGCAAGAAAGGTCACAAGTTGAGGCAAAATTCACTTAATTGTCTCACTTAGTAACAGAAATGTTGGGCGTAAGTCGAGGACTACTTGCATATAAAAACAAATGGGAATGTCAGAATCAACAAACTGTGCTGCATGAAGTGAACAACAGAATGTTACCTGTAAAACATAATACCAAAAGGACATCTAAGGTACAGGAATGCACTGGCTACACAGATCCTTGACTCTTGTCTCTTCCAGCTCTCCATTCTTGAACAAAACAGAGCAAATCGGTCTGTGTCATTTTAGCAGCCTGTGGCTTCTCTAGTGAGGCCAATACAAGGGAAGGGATAGGATCAGACCAAAATATCATTTGAGGGGGAGGATCCTTGACAAGGAAAGCAAGAAATATTATCTGAGTGCCAAGGCAACCTAAGCCTTGGACACTGTCTTTTACACAAATCCATCTGATTTTTGCCAATCCTTAATACCCTGTAAACATCACAGAGCATTTGCTAGATTAAACACCTTTCCTTCAGCAGACACTGATGGGAAACATACCGTTCCAGGAAAGGCTTTGCCATTGTGACTCCTGGGCCAGACAGAATATGCAGCGTATCAGTTGCACTGTAATTTTTACTCAAACTTGCACAATGTATTAATGCAGCCCCTTCTCTCCCAAGAGAGAGATAATCACTGGTACGTCTCTTCCCTCCTTAACAGATCCTAAGTTCTCTATTGCCAATAATGTAGCCAAATTTTGCCTTGCTGCTATGAGGCTGAGACCTCAAGTATTACCTATTTAAATTGCATTTGACACCTTCAACACTGGTGTCTGTAAGTATACTGTTTTCGTAGAGCATTTTGGTCCATTTGACTTGTTTTTTCAGGGTTCAAGAATCCTGAATCCTGGTACCACTTTGAAATCAAGGTGCAGTAGTAGGTGCTAGAGCCAATACACAGGCTGAGATGGCCTCCAGGATCTCTGGAACTTGACAAGCCAAGATTTTGTGAAGCAAATCCTAGAAACTCCAGTGTAGCAACAACTTTGGCAAAGATCATGGTGCTAGTAACAGCACAATGGAGATGGGGCACATATGCTGATGTTTGGGACAATGCAGCTGATCTGAGAAAATGGTAGGATTGTCAATAGCAGAAGCAACAGTAATGAAAACATAAACGTGAAGGATACCTGGTAATCACTCAGTTTTGGACACAGACTGAGAATTTTGAGGGTCAAGTTAAGGGAGTGGTTGAGTATTGGTCTGGCCCTGCAACTGTCTCCAAAAGCCATCTCAGTCTATATACTCCATGTTAGCCTCCATAGGGAAGGAGGAACTGGCTATATTGGCTGTTTTTCAAGAGTATGCCAGGGCTGTCACACTCCTTTGATGGCTCTTGCACTATTACGACCAAGGAGTCTTGATTCAGATGGACTTCTCAGATTCAGCATTGGGTTGACAGACAAAGAGAGTTGCCATTCATGTCCAGGATTCGGTTGGAAAGACAACAGTGGCGTTTCTGGTGCCATTCTCAATAGAGTTGGGAGCTTGATCTGTTGCTAATGAAGTAAGGGCAAGCTGGGATCAAAGGTAGTAGATGAGGGCAGTGAATGAGAACATGAAATACTGAGGGGCGGAGGGCAAGGGGCTGCTGAGTGCTACATTGTTAGACAGAAGTAGCCCGGGCATACTGGCATCCTGGCCAAGGAATTATTTGGGTATAAGATGGCACCCGATGATCTGTAGAGGGGATGTCAGGAGATAAAGAAGGTGGCAGGATTTTCATTGCAATGATCAGAAATAAATATGGGGAAGGCTGGGGGCAGTCCATTCCCAGAAGAGACAGATCTGTTGTTTGAAATTAATCCAGCCTTCTAACTTCCAGCACTCATCCCCAGGGCCCTGATTTTGGGATCTTTAGTAGCACTGGGCTACTTAATGCCAGGTTGATCTGTGCTAAAGCTTCCCTCAGTTAAATCTGACTCTGGATCAAAGTGCTGCCATGACATGCATGACCAAGATCTGGCCCAGCCTGGAGGTGGGAGGCAGCCCACTCAGAGATGTACAGGTAGTCTTCATCTTATCACCACCAATTGGGACTGAAATTTCCATTATAAGTCACTTGGTTTGTAGGTCAAGTCAGATTCAATTTTATGACCATTTTTATGGTGGCTGTTAAGCAAATCACCATAGTTATTAAATGAATTCAGAGTCATTGAGCAAACACTGTGGTCATAAATGCAAATCTGTTTTTCCAAATGAATGCTTTTTCTTTTCCCTTTTATCCTACACTTTTTCCTCTTTCCCTTCTCCTCCCCCTTTCCCCCCCATTATTCTAATTGTTCTTTGATAAACTAATAAAAAGATTGTAACTGGGTGCCTTTTTTTACCAAAAACTGGCAAAAAATGGTTGCAAACTTTGATCATGTGACTACAGGACACTGCAACTGGTTGTAAATGTAAGCCAGTTGCCAAGCATCCAAATTGCAATCATGTAAACATGAGAATAATGTCATGGTCATAAGTGTTAGGACCAGATTTTTCAGAACCATCATAACTTTGAACAATCATTAAATGAATAGTTATAAGTTGAGGACTACCTGGGATGGAGTGATTCAACATCCTGGTTCTTCTTGTTGTCTCTGGGGCATTAAATATTATCAATTACAGTATCCTTCTGGACTGACTTTGAGGATTGTTAACCGGAGTCATGGTGTTGTGGTGGTTCTTTTCTTTTCTTTCTTTTCTTTTCTTTTCTTTTCTTTTTTTTCTCTTTTCTTTTTGCTGCCCTGGTTACCAATAGGCTTCTAGATGAAATTCAAGGTGTTAGTTGTCATCTACAAAGCCTCTAGCAAAGTTGACATGCATCAGATCATGATATATTGCAATTACCCCCCCCCCCAGAACAACATTCCCTCACCTCATCCCATATTTGTACAATCCTGAAATTGTTGACCTTTAAGAAAAGCACCTAAGCACCTCATTCTTTCTATAGGGATTGGGCTAGGATTTTAGGGGTACCCACTATTAGGTTGTTATTAAATTGTTTTGTTTTCCCTCCTGCAATTTAGTTATTGGAATTCTATTTTAATAGTTCCGTTATGTTAATCTTTCTCTGCTCCCCAGTCTCGTGTGAGTAGGCAGCCGTAAAAGTTGACATTACACATGGATATTCTTATATGCCTGTTATTTTGAGAGGCGCAGATCAGGCCAAGTAACAGGATTTTGCAAAAATCACATCCTTTAATCACCCCCATTCTTTAATTAAGAGCAGAGCTTGTACAAATGTTTCCAACTCTTGTTCATGATTTAATTACTTTTTAGTATATTTAATTGAACGAATATTTCAAACTATATCAGTGATTAGCTCCCCAGAATCTGTAGCTAAAATAAGAAAACTTTAAAGCATGGAAAATTTTTAAATCTTGGGAGATTGACACCACAATTATCAGTGATGCAGCACCATTTAAATGAAGTGCTCATCACAAATTCCATTTGGCAAGGAGGGCATAAATACAACAATGCTTTCTAGAGTGTCAAACAATCTTTAAGCCAAGGATTAACCAGGGCTGGCTTTTTATGACATCTACCAGAACACCCTTGTGCATGCTGATTCTAGCAGCAGTGGAACAGACAGACTTTCTTTTTACTTATTATCTGTTGGATCGCTTTTGTAGGAAGGTCATAAGACTAACTGATGTTACCTGCTTTCCCATCAGAGTGGGGAAACCAAAGTAAACATACAATAGGCACAACTTTTGTTCTATGAAAATAGCCCATTTCTTGAGAACCATAATACAAAAGAACCGTAATAATAATAAAAAAAACCAATTATGTTAGGAACTATACCAGAACTCTGACCATTGTTGACAATACATGAATATCTAATTGTCTGAGGTGATCGCTGCTGGACTACTACATAACCTTAAAAATGAGCAATGAATGTAGGGAAGCTCATGGCCTCAGACAAGTAATAGCCAGTGCATTGAGACGGGGTGCAATTACCTGTCCTGTTACTTACATGCCATGCCAACCTGATAACTGCATTTGCTGTTGTGATATATGTGAAAGAGACCCCAATTTTAAGTTTATGAAATGTTTCTTCTTGCAACTGAACCTTGCCTGGGTAAAACGTTCTGTCTTGTTTCTGCTTTATCTTGCCTGTCCTCTTATTAGGATTGCTCAGTGGTATTGAATGTGTCTTGCTGGCTCCAGACACCTTTCTATAAAACAGTCTGCCTATTTCTTTATGGATTACAATATATAGTCAGTTTGTAGCACAGCTAAATAGATGGAAAATGGTACAAGAATAATATTTGTAGGACAAGAACCTCTATGTCAAGGGAAAACAAGAGGAAACCTCTAAGTCAAGAGGAAACAATGTATATTTGTGTGAGACAGTGTGTATAGTTATTTGTGAGATTGATGAAAATACTTGCTCATGATGTATTTGTACAAATGACATGACTGATGTAAATTACATAATTGGTGCCATTTGCAGAATGACCCCATAACATGGATGACATTTTTTTTAGTTTCTACCAGATGTTTTTGCTTATGTGACTTTGGAGATTCAGAAAGAGAATGCTTAACAAAGCCAATGTTGTCAAAGTTCACATGTTGTCTTACTCCTATACAAATGACAAACAGTCGTGATGGTGAGTCTCCTTGAAATATTCCTCTCTTGATATTAACCTCTCCCAGCCTATTACCATTGATTAGCAACTAGGTCTTCCATTATGCCATCAATCTTTGCACGAAACCTTTGATGTTTTTATGATTCCTGTTATTTCTGGATACTTGATTATCCAGTCATGTGGCAGGGAGTCAAATGTCTTCTGGTAGTCAATCCAAGCTACATTCAAGTTAGTCTTCCTTCTCTTACAGTTTTCCAAAATCATCTAGTCAGTTTGGCTCTGATTTTTTCTCTATTGTTGGGGCAATTTTCTTTCTGCTCAGGTGGAAAGGGCTTGTCTGCAACTAGATGCTATTGAAATGTGTCAGCTACCACGTCAGTAAGCAATCTGAAAGTTATTGGTAAGCAGGTAATTGGCCTGCAGTTGTCTGGTGCTGCTTTTTTGTTGGATCTTCCATTAGCAGATAGGGAATTAAGAGATTCCTGGATGGAGAAAGTTGTCTAAAAATAATATGGTAATACCATGTTCAAAGTACCTCAATTACATAAAAACCAGCTTGCCATGTCAGAAGAAATCTATCACACGTAGTAGTAGAATGGATTTAAGATGTCCTTGTTGACATCTCTTAGCTTATTTAATGATTATTGTATTGCATTCTTTATGACTATGTTTGTACTACAGTAACAATTGCCTATTTTTATTAGATATATTCTTGCATTGTAGACTGCTTAGAGCTGTTTCTAACTGAGGTGGCAAATGATTATTCCATTACACTGATCAGTGGTTTTTTTTTCCATAATGTGGAACTTGACTTACAATTGTGTGGCATGGAACAAGTAACATTTTATGGCAAGGAAGAGCTAATTTAACAAAAGAGAAGGTAGCGTTGGCAGATTCCTGCTCAGGCCCTATCCAAGGCTAAAATGGAAGCTTGCATGCAACAAAGTGCTACATTTTCTCTGCCCTGACCACAGATGGCATGAATCACTTCACTCTGCAGCCCACTGACCCAAACAGTCTCTTCAGCTGAGCGGCACTGTTGCAGTTCATGAAATGAAATATGTAAATGAAGCTGCATAAACTCTTTCTTTCTTTTTTCTTCAAAGCACCTTAGCACATTATTCAGAACCTCATCATTGTAATCTGGAGAATAAATAATCTGCTGAATGAAAGGTGCCATTTCAGGGCTATAAAAACAGGAATTCATTATATTCCCTTTTCCTAATGGGACACTGTAAGCTGTGGGGTGTGATTTTTTTTTTCTTTTGAAGCAGCTGGAGCATTAGTAGCTCTGCTGCCCCATAATTCACTGTAAATTGTAGGAATTCAGCCTTCGTCTGTGTCATTACCGGAAGATGGAGTATTGGTGCTGCTTGGAATTAAGTTTGTATTCATATTGCTGATTTCTTTTGTTTCTAATATTTTCTCCCCCTATAGAAATTGTTACTATTATAGAACAATTCATGAAGTTGACTATTCCACCTTTTATATACAGAATGTATCTTGGAAGTAATGGCAAAATGTAAATTTTCTCCTCCTATGACTTAATCCAACGTTTAAACAACAGGATGGATAAAAGATGCACCATACATATTAATGGAAACGGTGAGTTAAACGGTGTTTTGTTTCCTATGAGCACAGCCCCTGCACCGACCTTTTCTTTTTCCCCTCTGGTTTGCTCAGTCCTCCATTCAGCCCCAATTTCTGATTCAAGTGTTGATCTGACCTCCCTTCCTCTTCCTCCTCTTCTTCCTCCCTTTCTGTTTCATGCTCTGTGACTGATAAAAACTGTCCCAGTAAATCAAGAAGAACAATACCCTCTCCCTCAATCCATATATTAGAAACCCAAAGCTCAGCATGTCTGGTCATCGAGATAAATCCCCAAGTTATTGTCAAGGCTGAACATTGAGTTATGGTCAGCAACGCTATTGCTCTATTAAACCTTGCAGTCTCTTCTCTCTTCTGCACACGCTCTGTAGCTTGCGCTGTCATTCAAGGCAGATAAATTACAAAAGATGATTTTCAAAAGCCTGCCAATTCCTTTCTGTAGCTTGTCTATCCTTTATCACCAGTTTTGGAACCTTTCACTCTCTCTTTCTTTCTTTCTTTCTTTCTTTCTTCCTTTCTTTCCTTCCTTCCTTTTCTTTTCCTAGGTAAGCTATATATTTTGTTAAATGTCAAGAAGTTTTGGATTACTTGAAATGCTGATCCTAGACTCAGGCTTGTTTAATGAGATTAGAAACTGACCATTGATTCTTTCTTGAAGATCTGGGAAAGGATTTTCATCCAACAACTACAAAAGCCTTCCCTTATTTACTTCAGAGTTTCCAATTCTTAAGACAATCTCCTCCTTCTCTTCTCTAACAAGTTATATGCATAGGTATCCAAAGGAATGAAGTGGATGAAGAGAGGACATGAAGATTCAGGAAACATTTTTGTCCCGTCCCAAACCTCAGCCTAGACCTGTTACCGATTCCTTTCTTTCAACCATATACATAGTGTATACCACTGTTTTGTGTGTGATGTGTGGGACACAGTAAAATGGATTACAAGGCAGTTTCTAGATTAGAGATCTTAGCTTGCATAGAACAATGTGAACTTGGTTGAGATAAAACTAATATTTGATTGCTCCTGTAGCATTCTAGCCAAATTATTGCAACATTTACCAGTGTTGTCCTCACTATTAATGGGGGATGATGGGTATGGAATGGGCATAGATAAGTGGCAATGTAATCATTTCATTTCACAAACAACACGATCTGTTTTTCTTTCTTTCATTAATTCATGCTGTTTACCATTTTGTCTTCTTAGAGTCCAAGTCATAATCTTCCAAATGCCATGGTTTCCAACAGAGGGACTCAGAATTGTGACTTCTTCTCACCATTGTGGCTTTGGTCAATCCAAGTTTTCACATAAGACTTAGTGAGAGATAGAAAGAGAATGATGCCATAAATCTGAGTGAAGGTAATCTGATCTTACCTTGTGAGTACATGCAGGGAAATGAAGATGTAGGTTTAATTATGAATAAAAGGACTAAACTGTATTTCAGAACCATGAATTGATGCTGTTGAGGTTATTATGGGTGTGTATGAATGTAGGTATTCATAGAATGATGATAGTGGCATGTCACATTTCGGGGAATGGTGACAATGAAAAAAAAACAGATATGAGGTTGTGAGGAAATTGTGCAATGTTATGAATGAATGTGACCCAAGGGAAGGGGGAAGCTGCCCTGCTACATGACATGAATGGATTGGTAGCAATGAGATGAAAAAGCACACAAAAAGTGATTGAGTCATTCAAAGATGCAAGAATAAATGATAATGATGACTTTGTTCTGAGTATCTGGTGAATGTATTTCTATATTATCTTTATTTATTACATCTTTGATTGTTATTGGCTTAGGGAAGTGATATAGAAATGTATCAAGTAAAGAAAGAAAGAAGGAAGGAAGGAATTGAGTCAGTAAAATTAATGCAAGTTTGAAAGAGCTACACCTTTTTTCAGGCTCTTTCAAAAGACCATTGTGATGAATAGCCGTGATCTGCTTACAAAAGAATTGAATATGTATTCTAGACAATTTTTGAAGCATGCAGAACTCTAATAAAAATAGATTAAAGAAAGCTAACTATGTGCAATTAATTTGCAACTAAGCTCTCTGGTAAATGCCTTGTTTTACCAATATAATGATTATTCTTAAATCCAACAGCACATACTGTACATACTAAAGAAAGCAAAACTCATATGTAAGATGTACCTCCTCACAGGCATTAAAAATACTGATCAGGCAGATGATGCCAGAACAGAACCAAGCTTTAGGTTCCATGAATGCTCTTCCAGGGGAGAAAATGTTTTCCTGGCTGTACAAGACAAATGGATTTATCTAGGCAAATTGGACAATGAGTTAGAAAAGGAAAGGAATAGGAAATTTAAGATCAGAAATTATGTCTTTCTAATACTTGTGAATCCAATATATTCATGGATTTCACTAGAAGACTGATTTGACTGCTCCTCCTTATTCTTTCTGGCATCATCTCCATTCAATCTACTGGAATACTTAACTGGTGTCCATAATTCAAGGGCTGTTATAAAATTGAAAGAAGTTGATTTGTAGCTATTTGTTTGATTCACATCTAATAAAAATCAGGTCCACTGAGAAGGGAGGGCACACTTGCTTGGGTGGAACTGTTCCCTACACATCTATATTCACGAAGGATTCAGAATGGGTCATTTTCCTCATCAAACTTTGGGCTGCCCAATGTAGAGATTCATTGCAATAGGCATAGGCAGTTCTCAGAGAGCAGCGCTTTTGAATCTAATTGATAGTTATAAGAACATTTCTAATTTATTTTCTGGAGAAATGAATATACCTCATGCAATCCTTCGGAATTCTTCTTCGGAGTAGTTTTCACAATAGTCCCATCTCCCTCCGATGTGCAAGTTCTCCATCCCTGTTCATCACTAGAAAAGAAAGTGTTTGGAGAGATGGTTCTAATTAGCTAAATTGTCTAATTGATGTCCACAGAAATATGCTACCTCTGACCTGGATTAGTTCGCCCAAGTTAACACAATTCCTTCTGTTATTATCCAAAAACAGTAGAACATACTCATCCTATAGGTATTTGGAAGACTGCCAGGTGCCTCCACTAGGTGGCAGACGAGCATGGTATTAATGCGGCTCTGGTATTTTGTTGTTTGGTTTTTCTTTTGTTTATTTTGTTATCTCATTTTACTGCTTTGTGGTGATGGTTGTGAATGTTTTAAGTTACATGGACACTTTTTAGTTTTGCCTGATGGAAACAAGGGAGCAATGCCCAGTGTGCATTCCTTGGGTACAAACTTGCTATGTCATCTATTCCTGTTTGTGTTGTATTAGCTCATTTAATTTTGAACTTTGAGATAAACAACATACAAGGCTCCTAGGGATAAGAAATAGACATCTGAACAATTGCTCTTCCAGGTGCAACAGTTCAAAAGAAGGTGGCATTTCTTCTGATGCAACAAATATATGTCTGCATTTGCTCTGAACACAGGACAGTCCCCGTGAAACAGTCGCAGAAACTTCGTCAAGTTCTGCCAAAGGCCACACTCCACTTGTTCCAAAAAGATGACTTTTACCCAGCCTTTCCCAGCCTGTGACCTCCAGACACGCCCAATGATTCCTAGGACTTCTTCTCTATAAGGAAAGATCAATTTCCTGTTGGATTTTAATTTGTATAATCCTTCATTTAGTGTTTCTGTTTTGGAATTAGGGGCACAAGGAGAGAGCACTATATTGTGGGAGGATGCCACTGCACCTTGTAACAGGCAAAAAGTTCATGAACTATGGAAATGAACAATAGACAGTGCAGTTACTTCTGCCTCCACTGAGAGGTTCTGTTCATGACTGTCAACGGCCTGACTAGATCAGTCCAAGCTGGCAGCACGCAATACAGATCCAGTTCTAAATGGTCCACTTTTCTTGAAATCCCACAGTGATGACGACGATGATGATAAAAAAAATTAGTAAACTTGTAGCAAGATTCTGAGTGGCTCACAACAGTCATACAATTATTACAACCAAATCAACGAAACATAAAAGACAAAGATAAGTGTGACGAAGAGAGGGGTCACACTGTCCCTCACCAAAGGCCAGGGTGAAGAATCAGGTCTTTACAGCTCTTCTAAAGCGCCTCAGAGTGAGGGGGAGGGTCATCTGGGGAACTTCATTCCAGAGGGCAGGTGGTGCTATAGATAAGATGCACTTCCAATGTCCCAATAGATGACATGTTTTAATTGAAGGAACTCTGCAGAACTTGACCTATCAGGCAGAGGTTGTGGGAGATAGGCAGTTCTTCAAATAACCAGGCCCTACGCCATGTAAAATCTGCTAAAATCAGCTGTGGAAAGAAACTTAAGAAACATTGGTCCTGGCGAGAAAGGCCCTTGAGCGCTTCTCTGAAGTGACCTGAGATATTGTATTGCCTGAGGCTTCAAAGTCTTTCCAAGAAATGTTAAGAAGATAGTAACTAAAGCTACTCAACTTAGATTAACACTTCATACAATCCTGTAAGTGTCTCTCTTCTACTCAGAACTATAAAAATGGCCCATCCTTTCATGCCATCTCAATCAGGTTCCTGAGGAGAGCATTTCATTATTATTTTTTTAATGATGAGGCTGTCTCCGGCTCTGCTTCAGACAGCAATTTGTCTTTTACTGTGATAGGTGTCTCCCTATGTTCCTAGAAGTCCTGTTCCTCTGTGATGAAACACAGTAGCCCTGTTTCTTGTTGATTTATACAGATGTCTAGCCTATCCTTCAAGACAACGCATTTCCAAGGCAGTTTGCAAAAGCAACATAGGCATCTTCTTCCCTTCAAGGCTCACAGAGACATATGCACATCTTCCACAGATCATTTGAGCATCACAGCCTGCCTGTACGCATGACATCCTAATTTCATTAGATTTTCATTTCCAGTCTAATTCTGTCACACTGCTATGCACCACTGCCATAGATTAGTCACTTTGCCAAAACACCACTCCACTAATGAGTTAATCCAAATGCCCAAATGGCCCAGATCAGATTGAAAGCAAGACAGGCAGAAAAGGGGTGTGTACACATGAGAGACCATCTTTGGACTCAGGTTGTTTTTTTAAAATCTCTGTTAAATTAGCAGGGAGATGAAAAACAGTGGAGGAAAAAAAAGGGATTTCTTTGTTTTGTACTAGGAATGGGGTTTTTTATTTTTTTTTTAAAAAAAGAGACAGTATCCTGTTCGTTGGGCTTATATAGATCTTTCCTTATACTCACAAATATTCTGTGGTAGGGATCACCAATAGAAAGAAGCACTGCAGACAATCATTTCATTGTGTAATAAGCATGCCATTATTACAAACGTGAATCTCTTTTACCCAAGTGTGGTAGGGAAATAGCAACAATCATCCGTCATAGATTGATGCTGCAAAATACTATCTTTTTCCCCTTAGCAAATGATATTCGTGGAACACCTATTTAAAATCATCCCTTTGCTTTGCTTTGTTTGTTTTACTCTGCTTTACTAGATTTTGGACACTTTTTAAAGTTTCCTGTATAGCTCCAGTGAAAATGATATTTACTTAGACTATTTATATATATATATTGAGCTGCAGGTGATTATTAACATTAAGTAGCCAACTGGATTTTGGCCCCACCTACCCTTAAAAATGTCTTTTTAATGGTAATTTGATAAATGATGAAGGATAACATAAATGATAACAAAAAATGCAAATAAGAATATCTCCTGATTATTCATATATAGGGAAGTTAAATGAAATTAACTAATACAACCGCAGTATCTGCTCTTATTAAGAAAGGGGGTGGGATCTGTCTTTATCACAACTATGTAATTTAGAATGGTGTTATGCAATTTGCATTTAAAAAATAGTTTGTTCAATATAACACACTGGATAAATTGAAAGTGGAGATAGAACTGGATGGGTAAATGGAATCTCAGTGTAGGAGGTTAGTTCTCATATGGTCAGACATCAGTTCTGGCCATTAGCAGGACAAGGAGATGGATGGAAATTAGGCCACCTTGCAGCCTGCTGCTTAGCTCAGATGGGAGAAAGAAGTACAAGAATTTGAACTTTCATTTTATTATCAAAGAGCTTGTACTTGCTACATAGCAGTCACTGAATCTGAATTCTTTCATAATGGATTCTTAGCTTTTCCACAAAAGACTACTTTCCTGAACCTCCTGGATTCTTGTGTGCTTGATTAATCAGTCTAGCCTGTCAGGAGAAGCCTGACACTATGGTATATGATTGAAAGCTATCTCATTAATGAAGGTAAATACACATGTCCCAGAATAATGTTGCAAGGTTAGGCTGAGTTGGTCCCTGGGACCAAAGATTTATTCTTCCATGTTTTCAGGCTCATACTGAAGCCCATCATCAGGGAACACTACCACCCCATACCCCTCTCTGGAATATGTACACTGTGCTGTTCTATGCATTGTATTTATATGGTTCCTGGTTGTGTTTTTAGTTGTTAATTAGGGTGTTGATGGCTGGCTACTAAGTCATTAATAGTTGTTGCCTTGTGCTGCTGCACCCTCAGCTCCTAAGTACCTGATAGGCAGGAGGTAAATCAACACTCCTATTGACTGACAAAGGGCTTGGTTCTCAGGTTTCAATCATTTCTTTGGCTATTTTTGTCTCTGCTAGGTCAACAATCGTAGTAGCTGCAAAACTGAATGCATGTCCTTGTTCACTGCAATGTGAGTCTACCAATGAGTTCTGGTCTCCTTATCTAACTGCTCACTCGTGTTCTTGCAATCTGGTGGTTAGCTTCCTTCCCATCTGTCCTCATTCCAGGTCCAGCCTCCTTCTCTCAGGTTCAGAACTGCCAAGCCAGTTTTCTTTCCAGTCCGCTGCTAGTGCTATTAAATGCCAGGTCAGTCTCCATCCTAAGTCCATTACAGTTGTAGGGATCAACCTCATGCATGTTACTGAGACATGGATGGGCAGGCCTGGGGGACTTGAAGTTTTACTTGAGACTCTGGTTCAACATCAGTCTAAATCAGGGGTGTCAAACCTCTGGCCCATGGGCCGGTTGCATCATACAGAGGCCACGCCCACCCCAGCTCTGACAATGCAAAAAAGTTGCAATACATTGCGACATATCACGTGACATGGCGAATTTGACACCCGGGTCTAGATGGAAGAGCAAGTGATAGAGACATGGCTGTTATAATTCAGGCTATAGTAGTATGACTAAATCTATTATTCTGGGATTGATTTATTTGGTGATAAACCTCATAGACCTAACTCAGCTAATGCAAAAAAACTTTATACAGTAAATGGAGGCAGCCACAATAGAATATATGCTCTCATGAGCATGCACTACTTAAAACCATCACTTATTCTAGGTATAAAATTCTAGGTTTCTTCATCTTATCTTTTGGAGCTAGGATTGAATTATGAAATGCTGTGTGCAAAATTCAAGTTTGATTCCTGAATGCACATTAAGAGCAATACATGATAAATTAAAGCATGTGTAAAAATGAATGGAATGTTTAGTGAATTATTCAAGACTCAGCATAGAAAGACAAGAATGTGTTATGTTCCTTTGATTGTTTAATGTATGAATAGATATATTTATAAGGAAGACTTGTGCAGACGTTATGTTGCTATGTTGCTTAAAGATATGAATGTGCATTTACTGTAGCAGTTGAATGTACAGTTGTATGGAAATGAATGCCATGCTGTCAGCTGAGAACCCAAATATTTTAAAATAAATGTTAGACTATATGATGCTACTAGAAGCATAATATTTACATTTGACAGGGCAAAAAAAATGAATAATGGTAAAGTAAGCATATCCTATACAAAATTAGAGAAGTAAATGAGAAATCTTAAGACTTGCAAGCAGTGGTAAAAATAGCAATAGCATGAAGACTTATATACTACTTCATAGTGCTTTACAATCCTCTCTAAGCGGTTTACAGA